GTGTTTTTTTTTTTTCTGAATTTTTTATGCAAGCTCAATAAAATAAGGCTCTTGGGGTATAAATAGAATAAATGAACTGCAAATAATCACAACTGAAGTTTAGGGGAGAGAGAGAGAGAGAGAGAGAGATGAGGAGGATGTGTTACACATATATATTCTTTGATTTGTTTTGTGTCTCCCTTCATATTTGCGGGTCCGCATGCTGTAAACGGTCTCTTCCTCATCTAATTTTAGATCTTTCATCCACATGCACACATCTCTTTTTTCTCACATTAATTCACACAAAGATTGCTATCAGGAAAAATAAAATGGAAAGATGAACTCATGAAAATTCTTCATCATTATCCCAAGGAATAATTAATATTCCATCACAAGGTCTTGCGAATTATCTCTTCTTCTTCTTCTCTATCATTATAATCTTTTATATTTATTCCCGTACACTTTTTGAAATGCCTTTGTGGATATATAATGCTTTTTGAAGCATGCATGCATGCATAACTAATAGATCTTTGGCATTGTAGGGTATTTTGATATTATTCTTGTTTAATGTCTAGTTTGTTTTCTCGTTCAAACTGATTTTCTTTTTTCTCCCTGCAAGAAGTAGATCAAAGGTGATTGATCGCTTCATACAAAACTCAAGAAACAATGTCTAGTTTCGAGGGTGTTTTTGTCTCTGACCAATGGCTTCAGAGTCAATTCACTCAAGTCGAGTTACGAGGCCTTAAATCCAAAGTATTCTACTAAGTCAATTACACACCAATTTCATAACCAAATCACATAGAAATATAATAACTCACCGGCACTGCAGTTTTTGACAGCGAAGAATCAATCTAGGAATGTTACATTGGGAGATTTGGCGCCAGTAATGGCTACGTTGAAGCCGATTACAGGCATATTAACACAGGATGAGATCAAAGACTTTCTGGCTGAGTCATCTTTAGATTTAAGCCAAGAAGTTGATTTTGAATCCTTTCTCAAGGTCTGCGTCTAATTTTGTTTAGGACCCACATATGTATGTTTTCACTGAAGAAGCTAAATATATAACGACTAGTACAAATATGTGTGAGCAGGAATATTTGAACCTTCAAGCTCGAGCCACATCGAAAATGGGTGATTCGAAAACTTCATCCTCATTTCTCAAAGCCACAACAACCACTCTACGGCACACAATTAGCGCACCTGAGAAATCATCTTATGTTTCCCACATCAATAGCTTTCTTGGAGAAGATCCATTCTTAAAGAAATATCTCCCTATTGATCCATCAACCAATGCTCTATTTGACTTGGCAAAAGACGGTGTTCTTTTATGGTAATGCATATGTCTATACAATATTATGTTAAGACAAAAAAAAAAAAAAATAACAACAAACCTTTCTAATATATAATTATTTTTGTAGTAAGCTCATTAATGTGGCTGTACCCGGTACCATTGATGAGCGAGCTATCAATACGAAACGTGTTCTAAATCCATGGGAGAGAAATGAAAATCATACTCTCTGCCTCAACTCAGCAAAGGCAATTGGTTGCACAGTAGTCAACATTGGTACACAAGACCTAGTTGAAGCCAGAGTAAACAATCTACTTCTACCTTTATTTAAAATTCTTGTTTTTTGTGTTTTGATTGATAGTGTTCTCATCTTGTTTTTCTTGATATATAGCCTCATCTAGTCCTTGGATTGATTTCTCAAATAATCAAGGTAAATCATTTACTACTACTCAAGATGTTATGATGTATATACAGTAGTGAAGATATATATAATATACATCCTAATAACATCCATTTCCTTGTATTGTTATCAAATGTCAGATACAATTGTTAGCTGACCTTAATCTTAAGAAAACTCCTCAACTAGTGGAATTGGTGGAGGATAGCAAGGTATCGAACCTCTAGCAATATTCAATATCGCATCATGTTTCTAAGGCTAATTAATATTATCTATTACATATGTAAGCTCATCAATATTGGATTCTCAATTTGCATGCAGGATGTGGAAGAGCTTATTGGCTTGGCTCCAGATAAAGTTTTACTGAAATGGATGAATTTTCATCTAAAGAAAGTTGGATATAAGAAGCAAGTCACAAATTTTTCCTCAGATCTTAAGGTAAGGAAAATGCACCAATGTTTACTACCATTTTACAAGATAGAAAGTCTATCATGTAAAAAAATCTTTACCAACAGATATTATGCTCATTTTCTCAATTTTGGTTGAGACAAGTGATAGTTCCATTTCCATTTTAAAATTGCAGGATGGAGAGGCATATGCTCATTTGCTTAATGCTCTTGCCCCAGAACATGGAACGAGCACGACATTAGATGTGAAGGATCCGACTGAAAGAGCAAAATTGATTATCGAGCAAGCTGAGAAACTAGATTGCAAGAGATATGTTACTCCAACAGATATTGTTGAAGGATCACCAAACTTAAATCTTGCATTTGTTGCACAGATATTTCAACACAGGTTACACTATATAAGTGGAAATTTTTGCCTCTCTCAAAATTTCTATTATATAAGTTCCCAAGATAAAATGAGGGATAAATGAAAATAAAATGTATATGATACACAAATTTAGTAGAGGTCCAAGTAGTCATAGTCTTTTAAATTATTCATTATCTTTGATAACAGAAACTCATGCCTTCCTTGTACCTTCAAGACACTGCATATTTAACACATAATCATCTTATGTTTTGAAATTATTCCTTTCAGAAATGGACTATCAGTAGACACCAAGAAAATTTCTTTTGCCGAGATGATGACAGACGATGCTCAAACTTCAAAGGAAGAGAGATGCTTTCGGTTGTGGATTAACAGTCTTGGAATTGATTTCTATGTCAATAATCTCTTTGAGGATGTCAGGACAGGGTAAGGTTTCCATTTCTAGGTCATAACACTTTCCAACTTTATAAAAATTTACTTTTTAACTGTAATTTGTCATGTGCATACAGATGGGTACTTCTAGAAGTGCTTGATAAAATATCTCCCGGGTTTGTTAATTGGAAGCAAGCCACAAAACCTCCTATTAAGATGCCTTTTAGAAAAGTTGAAAATTGCAACCAAGTAGTAAGTATTGGCAAGGATTTGAACTTCTCACTTGTGAATGTAGCTGGAAATGATATTGTTCAGGGAAACAAGAAGCTCATATTAGGTAATAGTTCCATCGTGCTAAGTTCTTTGTTCAAATCTTATGACTCTCCACCATTGTGTTCATATTATTCTCATTTTTGTTTTTGGCCAGCATTTTTGTGGCAGTTAATGAGGTTTAGTATGCTTAAGTTGTTGAAGAACTTGAGATCTCATTCCCAGGGAAAAGAGATAACAGATATTGACATATTAAACTGGGCAAACAACAAAGTGAAGAAATTTGGTAGGACTTCCCAAATGGAAAGCTTCAAGGTGAAACACTCAAAACCTTGATCATGCATTGGTTTTTTTTTTTTTTTTTTTTT